TTGTATGATGATTAAATGATCTAAAATATGTATTTTATGGGAAAAAAATCGCATCTGATGCCATTTAAGAATGAAAATTTTTTAAAAATGTCACTTTTCAAATGACACTTTTCAAAAATGCAACATTTCAAAATAAAAAAATTTCATTATATCATTTATGTTTGGGTTAATTATGTTGTATTACGGTTTAGTTTTGAGGGTTTAAGGAGTCAAAACATTTTTTAGGGTTTATAATTTTAAGATTTAGGCTTTAAAAATTCATAATTAGTGGCATTTTGCAAATAGACATCCCTAAGCGACATTCTTACAAATGTACACACCAAAAATGACATTTTTGCAATTGCCCCTGAATAATAGATTCTGGGAAAGTTTTTTTTTTTAATTATAAAACATCAAATTTATAATTAATAACTGAATACATAATATTGATTTATAGTTATTACGCAAATTCATTGACAATCACCGTAGCAATATCACATACATTATATAAAGCATCAATATTCGGTAAAAGTCGTGAAACAAATTTAACACTTTTTGATTTTAATTTGTTTTGCATATCATCTGCCAAATTAATCACGTTGATAACAGCTCCAAGAAAATTGGATTTTTCTCTACCTGCCAAAGCTTTAAGTGCGTTATCACAATATGTAGAGGCCCACTTGAGATTTGTAATGCAGGATATAAAAATCTTTTTGGAATAAGGATCAGTTTTCTTTTGGCCAACAGCTACCTCTAGTTGATTTATTGCGTCTGAGATTCTATGGTGGCCATAATCTACTAAAAACTTTGCAAGGCCAGGAACATCTGATTTATCTGTTAATGGAGTAGATTGTAAGATCTTGACACAAAATTTTGGATCGACCGTTTCCTCGCAAATTCCCTCAACCTCATATCCATCAAATGTTACTTTGAATTTGGTAGACGATGATGTGCCAAAAAGGATGAACACGGCTAATGATGCCAATAAAATGGTGTTTTTGAGGCACATAACCATTCTCTCTAAACTTTATATTTTTTTTTCAAATTTGAAATTTATTTTATGAGAATTGTATTTTTTGATTTATGTCTTCACTTATAATGCATATTTATAGAGCAGTTTTTTTCTTCAAATTTGTTATTTTTTTATGAGAATTGCACTATTTGACTTATGACAACACTTATAAGGTATATTTTTATGGAAAAAAATTTATATTTTTTCCGAATCAGGAACATTTTATGAGAATTGTATTTTTTTTGACTGATGACTACATTTATAAGGTATATTCATGAAAAAAATCTATATTTTTCAAACTTGAATTTTTATGAGAATTGTTTTCCTTGACTTATGACTAAATTTATATATAAGGCATATTTTTGAAAAATGTTGACCTTTTTCAAATTTTAGAAGTTTTTTAATGAGAATTATATTCTTTGACTTATGTTACCAACCACTACAAAATGATTCAGATGAAAAGTTTCCCATGGTACTTAGCTATTTCAATCACACCACAGCGTGGGTACTCATTCAACATAGTCCAACCTCTAACAACTTTAAACTCTTTACGCTTTGTGTCATACCAGAGACAACTTCTTTTATGAATATAAAAACATATATTCTCTATTACACACTTGCAGAATATTTTTGCACCAGCGTAATCCCATTTACCTTCTTTGGGATTATAAACATAGGTTATCTCTTTGCTTATAACGTAAAGCTTTTCTTTCCTCACCACTATTGTTTTAACTTTTGAGGAGCGGATCTCGACGCCAGGTTCAGGTAAAGGTTCCCAAGTTTGAGTCTTTGTGTCGAAAACCTCAGCCCAGTTTGCTGATTCATTTTTCTTTTTCCTGCAGCGTCCCATTACATATATTTTCTCATTGAGGAGAGCCGCAACCGCACTCTTTCGAGCTACGGTCATGTTGGGAGCTTTATATACGCCACCTGAAGCCAATCCCCTCCTTACGACGCATACTGGAGGAGGCTTTGTTTCGGCTGAATGCATAATATTCTGAACCAACCCTAAAGTGGAAAGATGGTACACGAGGATAATACGAAGAGGGAATTTGTACTAACTTAGTATTTCTGCTATGTTAATGAAAGAAAGT